CTACAGCCTCAGTCCTGGGTCTACAGCCTCAGTCCTGGGTCTACAGCCTCAGTCCTGGGTCTACAGCCTCAGTCCTGGGTCTACAGCCTCAGTCTGGGTCTACAGCCTCAGTCCTGGGTCTACAGCCTCAGTCCTGGGTCTACAGCCTCAGTCCTGGGTCTACAGCCTCAGTCCTGGGTCTACAGCCTCAGTCTCAGTCCTGGGTCTACAGCCTCAGTCCTGGGTCTACAGCCTCAGTCCTGGGTCTACAGCCTCAGTCCTGGATCTACAGCCTCAAGTCCTGGGTCTACAGCCTCAGTCCTGGATCTACAGCCTCAGTCCTGGATCTACAGCCTCAGTCCTGGGTCTACAGTCTCAGTCCTGTAGTCCGGATCTACAGTCTCCGTCCTGAATCTACAGCCTGAATCCTGGGTCTACAGCCTCAGTCCTGGGTCTACAGCCTCAGTCCTGGGTCTACAGCCTCAGTCCTGAATCTACAGACTCAGTCCTGAATCTACAGCCTGAGTCCTGGGTCTACAGCCTCAGTCCTGGGTCTACAGCCTCAGTCCTGGGTCTACAGCCTCAGTCCTGTAGTCCGGATCTACAGTCTCCGTCCTGAATCTACAGCCTGAATCCTGGGTCTACAGCCTCAGTCCTGGGTCTACAGACTCAGTCCTGGGTCTACAGCCTCAGTCCTGGGTCTACAGCCTCAGTCCTGGGTCTACAGCCTCAGTCCTGGGTCTACAGCCTCAGTCCTGGGTCTACAGCCTCAGTCCTGGGTCTACAGCCTCAGTCCTGAATCTACAGCCTGAGTCCTGGATCTACAGCCTCAGTCCTGAATCTACAGCCTGAGTCCTGGGTCTACAGCCTCAGTCCTGAATCTACAGCTTGAGTCCTGGGTCTACAGCCTCAGTCCTGAATCTACAGCTTGAGTCCTGGGTCTACAGCCTCAGTCCTGAATCTACAGCCCGAGTCCTGGGTCTACAGCCTCAGTCCTGAATCTACAGCCTGAGTCCTGAATCTACAGCCTGAGTCCTGGGTCTACAGCCTCAGTCCTGGGTCTACAGCCTCAGTCCTGGGTCTACAGCCTCAGTCCTGGGTCTACAGCCTCAGTCCTGGGTCTACAGCCTCAGTCCTGGGTCTACAGCCTCAGTCCTGGGTCTACAGCCTCAGTCCTGGGTCTACAGCCTCAGTCCTGGGTCTACAGCCTCAGTCCTGGGTCTACAGCCTCAGTCCTGGGTCTACAGCCTCAGTCCTGGGTCTACAGCCTCAGTCCTGGGTCTACAGCTTCAGTCCTGGGTCTACAGCCTCAATCCTGGGTCTACAGCCTCAGTCCTGGGTCTACAGCCTCAGTCCTGGGTCTACAGCCTCAGTCCTGGGTCTACAGCCTCAGTCCTGGGTCTACAGCCTCAGTCCTGGGTCTACAGCCTCAGTCCTGGGTCTACAGCCTCAGTCCTGGGTCTACAGCCTCAGTCCTGGGTCTACAGCCTCAGTCCTGGGTCTACAGCCTCAGTCCTGGGTCTACAGCCTCAGTCCTGGGTCTACAGCCTCAGTCCTGGGTCTACAGCCTCAGTCCTGGGTCTACAGCCTCAGTCCTGGGTCTACAGCCTCAGTCCAGTAGTATTTGTTTACCTTGCTCAGAAGCGGCTGCAGTTTGGTCAAAGCGATCACTGTGGCTTCTATCAAGACTTGACTGTTGTAGTTATCCGGCCCTTTCAAACAACTCTCCAAACCCTGAGAGCAGAAACACACACACTTAGAGAATAAGGACACACACAAACACACACTGCGAGCGAAGCAATACAACTGTCTATTTATACAGTGTAAAGCTTAAATGCCTTCAGCTAAAATAAGATTAAAAAAAAGATGTAAAATGGGAAATATATTGTAAATAATATGTTAAAAGTTCAGACCAGGATGAGCAATCGTTTCCATCTAGTGGTAGCAGTGGGGAAGTGCACTTGTAATTCTAAAAACAACAATTGAAGGAACTATTTAAATGGAATAAAAAGTATTTGTAAGCTATATATGTTTATCCCACCATCAACATAAATGCAGGTAAATCTGAAACAGAATAACTTATCTAAACTATTATAAGTCTTATAACTAATCTAAACTAAAATAACAATAAAAGGCAGAAGACAACAGAAAATAACGAACAAATTTAAAACTAAATAGAATCCCACAAGTCTGACTCTGAGGAGCACAGGGACCGGCCTCCTGCTGGTGCCGGAGTCAAAACATGGGGAGGCAGTTTTAGATTCATCCTGCTTAAACCTGGAACAGTCTTCCGGAAAACGTAAGACAGGCTTCTTCTCTGACAATGTTCAATCGAGACTAAAATCAGTTGTTTTTAGCTGCAACAACTGAAGGATTGTGTCTTCACTCTTTCTTGATTTTAATGTTTTTGGTGGGTACCCGGTCGATGCTGAGCAGAGGACTGGCTTTGCTGAGGATCCGGATGATCTGCCGGATCTGTCCGTGGGTCACTCTTTTACTGATGCAGCCGAACACCACCAGGGCACGAGGCTGCAGAGACGGGTTGTACTGGAACGCAAACCTGAGAGACACACACACACACAAACACAGACCAAACAGACACACACACAAACACAGACCAAACAGACACACACACAAACACAGACAGACACACAAACACAGACAGATAGACACACGGGACCATTAACTATTGGTGTATCAATGCTGTACTACTGCCATATGCTAACGCTATAACAGAACACATAATACACAGAGCCTTGCGAAAGTTTTCATACACCTTGAACTAAACGTTCTGTCTCTTTCAGTCATGCTCCAAAAAACTTGGAGGGGTTCCACAAAGTCTAAACTCATGATGTATGAATACTTAAGCAGGCCCAACTTTTCGGTTTTCTATGTTTTTGAATAATAACAGAATCTTGCAAGAGTTGTAATTTATACAGAATCTGTATAAATACTTTTGCACTGCAGAGTATATTTAAGTTTTTCTAGTTTACCCCAAATCCTCAACAGGACCTAGAGGTTGACAAACCGGGACTGAAATCAGGGGCAGAATCTTTAAAATGAGTGGTCTACATACTTCTGTGCGAGCTCCGTCCACTGGTCCAACCACTTGCAGGACGGGATGTCTCTCATACAGGCCTGCAAGAAATATTGCTGTTAGTACAAATCACAATGAACATCAGGCTGCAGCAGCAGAAGTAGTAGTAAAAGTAGAAATAGTAGTAGGAGTAGTAGCAGAAGCCGTAGCAGGAGTAAAGCAGCCGTGTAATTGGTAGCAGTAGCAGTTTAAGTTGTGGCAGCAAAAGTAGTTAGTAGCAGTAGAAGATATAGTAACCGCAGTAGCAGTAGAAGAAGCAGCAGTAGCAGTAGCAGTAGCAGTAGCAGTAGCAGCAGCAGCAGCAGTAGCAGTAGCAGTAACAGCAGCAGTAGCAGTAACAGCAGCAGTAGCAGTAACAGCAGCAGCAGTAGCAGTAGCAGTAACAGCAGCAGTAGCAGTAACAGCAGTAGTAGAAGAAGCAGCAGTAGCAGTAGTAGTAGAAGAAGCAGCAGTAGTAGTAGTAGAAGCAGCAGTAGCAGTAGTAGTAGAAGAAGTAGCAGTAGCAGTAGTAGTAGAAGAAGCAGTAGTAGTAGCAGTAGCAGTAACCGCAGTAGCAGTAGTAGTAGAAGAAGCAGCAGTAGCAGTAGTAGTAGAAGAAGCAGCAGTAGCAGTAGTAGTAGACGAAGCAGCAGTAGCAGTAGTAGTAGCAGTAACAGCAGTAGCAGTAGTAGTAGAAGAAGCCGCAGTAGCAGTAGAAGAAGCAGCAGTAGTAGTAGCAGTAGTAGTAGCAGTAGCAGTAACAGCAGCAGTAGCAGTAACAGCAGCAGCAGTAGCAGTAGTAGTAGCAGCAGCAGTAACAGCAGCAGCAGTAGCAGTAGTAGTAGCAGCAGTAGCAGTAGCAGTAACAGCAGCAGCAGTAGCAGT